CCCCTAATCAGATCTTGACTATCCCCTAATCAGATCTTGACTATCCCTAATCAGATCTTGACTATCCCTAATCAGATCTTGACTTGATCCTGTCCCTCAGTATTCTCTCCAATAACTTGCCTACCACCGATGTCAGGCTCACTGACCTGTAGTTTCCTGGCTTATCTTTGCTGCCTCTCTTAAACAATGGAACAACATCAGCCATCCTCCAGTCTTCTGGAACTTCACCAGTGGATAAAGATGAAGCAAAAATCTCTGCAATGGCCTCCGCAATTTCTTCCCTAGCTCCCCACAATGTTTGAGGATGGACTTGATCAAGCCCAGGGAATTTGTCCACCTTAATGCCCTTTAAGGCTGCAAACACCACCTCTCTGGTAATATGTATGCAGGCCAAAACATCCCCACTTGTTTCCCTTATTTCCTTAGCATCCATGATTCTCTCCTCAGTAAACACCTGAGGAGAAACATTCATTAAAATTCTCCCCCATTTTCTGTGGCTCCACGCACAGATGGCCATGCTGATCTTTGAGAGGACCTATTCTCTCTCCAGCCACCCTTTTTACTCTTAATATTAACTTTGAAGTCTACATTTGACATCAGATACTTTTAAGTTGATAGCCAGCCTTATAATGAATATAAAATATTTAACCTTTTCTAGTGTACAGAAGATATTGCAGGTCTTTTTAGCAATAAAGGATGAATAATTTACTTAAATGTGTTTTCATTTAAAACTCCATGGTTAATGGTAGACTAAAAGTCCAGTCTATCATTTTTTCCAGTTTGAGGGCTTAGCAACATTTTGGACAAATGCCTCAACTGCATGCCAAAATTTTGATTATTTTCTGTTTTTAACAAAATACTGCATTCATGACATCATTGATAGTATTTTGCTTCTATTCAATATATTAGATATTTGTAGTACATCCAGTGTAATCATATTTGATGGATTTTCAATCTGTTTGATTTTGATTACTCAAATAAGGTGTAGTGTTTTGGAATGGGTTCTGTTACTGACTTATCTGTTAGCCACTCACAAAGCAGTAATCCTGTCCTTGGTTAATTTTCTTAACCAATGAGTGAAAATAATTAAAGTCAATATTAAGATATTTCACAAGAAAGCTATATATAAATATTTCTCAAACTTTTTGGTTGGAAGACCTTTCTTCAAATGAATTAGCAATCGACATGTTACTTATAATATCCATATGTAGTGTGTTTTAATGATGCTTTTAATTTAAAAATTAGTGAGATGGGTATATCGGTTTCTCATTGCAGTATGTGGGTCCATGGTGTGATATTTTTCTCACACTACCCCTGTTGCACTAACTTTGCCTTCAGACACCATTTTAGTCATCTATTTTTGACCATAATGATACCCTCCACCCAACCTCACCTGATCGTTAGGCTGTCCCTGATTACTTCATAACCTTTCTAAATTCCAAGATGACCTCAGACTTCAATTGATAACTATTCTGTTTGACTGCCTATTTGGAAATGAGCAATATGAAATGAATGTGTTTAAGTTTTAAATGTATATGCCACTGTATTTTCACTGTAAAGCCTGAAGTTTATATCACTTTCTTTTTTTCTTTGCCGTTTTAACAGCTCCACAGTTGCTCAGCCCTCTGAGATGCCCCCATCTCCTCTGGTATGGGAGTAAGTGGAAGAAACTACTGATGACAAACATTTTAGGTTCTCACTAGAGTCTAAAATTTGCAGTACATTTATGTCGGGACAAGTGTGTAATTTTACTTATAAAAAATTTTTAAGAAGTTAAAAAGAAAACCACTGATAATTGTAAAGAATATACTTTTAGGAATATGCTGGACTTGTATTTTTTAGGGATTAAATTGGTGGTTGTGCTTTGAAATAAAGCAGCTTAGCAGGAGCTGCACGGTTTGTATGTATTTATGGAACTGTGTGCAGCCTTCGCTTTTTGGCTTTGGAAAAACAAAAGCTGCACTAAAATGAGCTGGGTGTCTTGACTTTGAAGTGGGACATGGAACAGACATGTACAGGATCTCTAAGGAATCAACGCTCATCCATTCCTGAAGACACTTTGAACTGAGGCTGGCTAAGAATACAGAGTTTATGCCGACCAATCATGATGTCATATCAGTTGATAAGGCTGTTTAATGAAATGGGCATGTCACCTGACAGATCAATTCTATAGCTTCTCTTCAGAGCTGTGACAGTGGTTTGCTGTTGTTTGTATAACATTGTGATTAGAAAGAAATGGAGTGAGTGTGAATTTATCACTAGCAGAAGTAACTTATGTTTCCCCAGTCCCTTAATTATATTTAACCAATTTTTAGAAACATTTTGTTTTATTTCTGCAGTCAAACCTCAAGCATGCATCATCCCACATTACTTGTGTATATAGGTCCAGTGTTGGGTAGATTTTAAAAGTCTTGACATTACTGTATAGAGGAATTAGCTTGCACATTTTAGGTCTGTGAAATATTCCGTGAAAGTTATTTTCTGCACTGGACGGTGTAACAGGAAAAAAAAAAGCAGCACATAGGCGATTATGTTAATTGTGTCTTGTGTCTTTAGGCAGAACTGTGTGGAAGTGTTGATCTGAAACGTCACAGTAGTGCAGTTTTAATATCCTTTCCTGACAAATCCTTATCTACTGGAACACTGAACTATTCTGTGTATATGTATATATGAACAGAAATTGAAGGCTCTACCTCCAGGAGTATACAACTTGGTTTGTTTACCTCCACGTTTTTTTAAAAAACAATTCAGCGTGGGGATTTAAAACTTGAATGTCCCTTCCAGCTTTTATATTTAAGATAAAAGATTTTTCACATGTACGAAGGAACCTTTATGGATTGTCTTAAATACGCAATTGTGTTCAAAGCTGAGAGTATGACCCCAGGCTCGGTCATCATTACTTGACTGTTAAATAACTGTAGTTCATATCTGTATTTAGCATTGGACTGTTGCTGCGAGTGACCCAGAGCAAAGGTGTGCACAGATTTCAGTTAGATCCCAAACATTTTATTCCTTTTAAAATTTTAACTTAAATGAAGTAACGGCTTGCTATGACAAAGATTTGTCATGCTGGAAATTGCATCTATTTACAATTAGGAGCAATTAAGAGGTTTATGAATTATAAAGAAAAAGGTTTTTAAGCCTCCAGAGCTTTAAAAATAAATTAAGTTTTAAAGGCTTGTATTTGAAAATTTCTGTTTTCAGGAAATAGGGCAAAAAAATTCCTAAGAGCCTGCTGAGAAACCAGTTTCAAGACTTCACCTGAGGTTCATCGTCCTATGTGACACATTTGCCGGTCACTTTGTACAATGTAGATTTGAAGTACAGTGGTGGAAATTCATTAAATGTGACATTTAAAAGAAAATCAGTGTGGTACTACTCAGTTTGTCATTTAATATTTAGTCATATCCTCTTAATTTATTATGTTTCCCTTTTTTGTTTTGTGGTTTCTGTATCTACTATTGATTCCCAACAGGCATCTTTGAAAACACTTCTTTTAAGTTTAGTTGTGTTATTATTTTTATGTGGAAAAGAACATAAAGATATTATTGTATCTGAAGAAGTGTCATTGGACATGAAATGTTAACTCTGATTTCTCTCCACAGATGCTGCCAGACCTGAGTTTTTTCCAGCAATTTCTGTTTTTGTTTCCGATTTCCAGCATTTGTAGTTCTGTTTTTTTATTAAGGTAGTATTTTCTTGCTTTACTTGGTGATTCCACATCTTGTGTCCTTTCCTGAATAGGAAAACTTGATAATTCCCTGAATTAGAGCTTTGCTTTCAAAAGCATTGCACCATCACCTCTCCAGGTTGGGTGTCTGAATTGAGAAACACCAGTTGTCTGGAATGTTCTGAGCAGACCAAGCAACTCATGGACTCTCTATTCAATTTGTTGCTGCACCCAAACAATAGAGAAGGCATGGGCTTATCTCACCCTCAGACTAAGGGTGACGGGGGATGTAGTGACTTTGAGTCATATAGCACAGAAACAGATCCTTCACTCCAACTCGTTCATGCCAAACAGGCATCTCATCTGACCTAGTCTCACTTGCCAGCTTTTGGCCCCTACCCCTCTTAAACCCTTCCTGTGCACATACTCATCCAAATGCCTTTTAAATGTTGTATTTGTACTCCCCTCCACCACTTCCTCTGGCACCTCATTCCATGCATGCACCACCCTCTGCATGAAAAAGTTACTCCTCAGGTCCTTTTTAAACCTTTTCCCCTCTTTATATTAAACCTATGCCCTCCAATGTTGGATTCCCCTACCCTAGGGAAAGGACCTATGGTGAGGGACAATGCAATGCAAAGTTTACAAAGCCATTTTATTTTCTGGTCATGCT